GGCATCGTCGGGGGGGAGGGGTGTTCTTTTTTCTCAGTTTCTCTGGGTTCATTTTATTTTCAGTTGGGGTTTTTGTTTTTGGGGTTTTTTTTTAAACTTTATACCAAATCCTCTTCCCTCTTTGCTTTGTGCGATGAGTTAGCACACGGGCTGTCGTCTGTAGAAGCAATAGAGTGCAGGAGGCTACAAAAGAGCACAAATCCCGTGGAACAAGATCAGGAGAGCTTTGCCTCCGGCAGTATCCTTCCTCTTACTGTGCAATCCAAGTCCTTCTCAAGCCATTTCGTGGGGACACAGGGACGGCTGGCGTGGCAGCTGGTGGCCAAAACCCGCTTGCCCTGCCAGGAGGGGATTCCCGGGGAGGGGGAGGCAGCCCAAGGAGGGGGCTTGCCAGCGTACGGCCCGCACCCCGCCGCCTCCCCACGCCGGTGGCATCCCCCGGTGCCCCCCGCGGCAGGCGGCAGCCGCCCTCTCGCCCGCCTGATGTTCTATGCAACGAAATAACACGACTCCAGAACAAGACCTGTGAATAGCTACTCGGTTCAATGTTGCGCCTAAGGGTTTCATCGCAATGCCTGCCGCCGAGCAACCCAGTAACTACTCTTTATCGACCACCCGTGCGTATGAATTCGTGGCATGTTCGACCCACGGAGGGCCACTTTGCCAAAGGGCAGCCCTAGCGCCCATGACCATCTGTCCCGTTGTAGAGCATGGCTTGCTACTTCTCTGCACGGTTCCACCCGCCTTTCAGTGCTTGCCGTTCTTTGCCTGGACTTTTCTTTTTTCTTTTCCATCGGTCCATCGCTGTACTGAAAGCTCTGAGCAGATTTATGCACTTGTTATCGAGGACCTGGTCACCATGGGACACCCACACCCCACGGCAGGTCCCTCGCCAGGGGCTCTGCCTGTGCCCAAGGCTGGGGGAGAGGCTGACAGCTGTGGGGCAGGGGGAAACGCAGCACGGAGGAGACCCCTGGCCCTACGCACACCCGCTCCCTCTCTCCGCTGATGACAAGTGCATAGCCTGAGGGTGCCTCCTCCCGGCCCCCGCCGCTCCTCGTGCTGTAAATACTTGTACAGTGTGTAAATCACACGCGGGATCAAGACCCCCCGCCAGGGCCTGTCTTGCCACCCGAGCACATTCGCCACCTTGCCTCCGCACCCCCAGGGACCAGGGGCGTGTAGCCCACCCCGCCAGGACCCCACCCGAACCGCACCAGTCGGTCGGGGGGTGCGGAGATGAAGGGCTGAGCGCGGCCGGGCGCCATTTCCAGCGGTCAGTGCGGTGCTGGGTGCGCTCCCTCTGAACATTGTGACGGTGTGCGTGTCTGCTGTGCTCTGTGCCACCCGTAGTGACCCTGTACCGTGCCGTACCGTGCCGTACCGTGCCGTCCCCCCCCTGCCGCTGTGTCGTGACTCCCTCCCAGAAGCTGCCCCCTCACCAGGTGTTTCTGTGGGAACAGAATAAAAAGGACTTGACACAAACCACAGACTAGCCCAAATTTCCTGCCTGCCTGCAGCAAGGGGGAGCAAGTGGGATCTGGTCCCCCGGCACGATGGGTGCAGCCTGGCTTGGTCAGCACCACACCTTGCCCATACCTGAGGCTGCTGGGCTGGGGAATCCCTGTAGCCTTCAAGAGCCTGATCCTCCCACCCTTGCAGGGCTGCTGGGCTGAGTGGTTCCTATGGACTCCAAGGGGCTTATCCTTCGACACCAGGGGCTGTTTTTGTGGGGGGACCCAGTGGGGCCCTTGAGTCCTAACCCTCCCACATTGGGGGGCGCTGAGCAGGGGTCCTTATGGGCTCCAAGGGCCCGATCCTACACACATACCAGGGGCTGCTGGTCTGGGGGGGTCCCTGTGGGCACCGAGCACCTGAGCCCCTGCACACAGAGCCCCTGTGCTGCAGCCACCTGC